TCAGAAACCAACATGTGCATGCCATGTAATTAATTTAGTTGTAAAATCTGGTTTAAAATCAATGGTTGTTCATATAAAGGCAATTAGAGATAGTATTTTATGGATTCAATGTAGTAACCAAAGAGAACAAGATTGGTTTAGGTTCTTACAAGCACTAAATCTATCTCTTAGAGCATTAGAGCTAGATATGCCTGTAAGATGGAAGTCAACTTATATAATGCTTCAACAATGCCTCCCCTATAAGATGCTATAAGAACTATATCAGTGTAAAATTAGGAGTATGACATATAGACCCATATGATTAGCAAATCACCGAAACTTTGTATAAATTTTTAGGTAGGTTTCATGAAATTACTTTAAAACTTAGTGGCACATATTACCCAACACCACATTTAGCTTTAGGTGAACTTTTAAGAATTAGTATTTTATTTAGTGAATTTAGGACGGATCCAATTTTAGGAATTCCTATCCCTTCTATGGAAAAGGAATTAAAAAAATATTGGTCTAAATTACCAATGTCGTATGGTTTCGGTACTATTTTTTACCCTAGATTAAAATTAGAAGGTTTAGAAAGTGGTTAGAAAACTTAGATGAGTTTTTAGAAATCAATTGTCCTGACTAATTTCCTAAAATAAAGGAAAAATTATTTTCTCTCTATAGTGTTTATGAGAATAGGTTTAGAAACACCACTTGTGGAGTACATGAACCGCAACAAAAGATGAAAACCCACATTCATTATTGAATGTTTTCAGGTTGAAGAAGAAGAAGAATACTCAAACAGAAGTTACGAGTACTGGAACAAAAAGATGAAAACCGGCATTCATCAAGAGGTAGTGGTGGCGGCTTCAACGAGCTTATGGCATACCTTAACGAGAGCTTAGTAGTCGACGATAGTACAGAAGTGTTTGATTTAGTTCAATGGTGGAGGGCACGAGCATTAACTTGGCCAGTCCTAACTCGATTGGCAATGTGTATTTTTTTATCTCAGTCTGCACTGTTTCATCCGAACAAGCCTTCAGTACAACTAGACGAATACTTGAGGAACGTCGAAACGCATTGCAAATGTATATTATTGAAGCTTTGGTGAGCATTAAGGATTGGGATCGTGCCGATCAACATTTACAAGATACAATTTTGTGGGCAAGCCAAGAATGAATAAATGAATTTAATAGATTAACATTTAATTTTGAAGACGATTCTTCAGCTTCAAATTAAATTGTAATTTGTAAACATTTATTTGCTTTGGACATTGTAATTGTAATATTGTATATTTAGACTTTGTAATTTTGTAAAAGTTGTAATTCGTCACAAAATGATTGTACTCTTTTCTTCTTACTAAGTTTTTATCCCAACTGAATTTTTTTGGTAAGGTTTTTAACGAGACAATCATAAATTATAAATTTAAAAATTAATAAACAAAATAAATTTTTTAAATTGTATTAATAGTGTGTGTTAATGCCAATTTTAATTATAATTTTTATATAATTTTTACAATAAATAACTTAATAATTATTTATATGCAAATACAATTAATAAACAATATTATATATAATATACATACTATATTATTAATAATAAAATAAAATATAAAAAAATATATTAAATATTTGGGTGAGAACGGGCTTTGGGCAGCCAAGACCTGTTGTTACGTGATTTTTATGCTCGCAAGTGTACGTGCCGAACAAGTAATAAAGTGTGAGTAGAGTATCGTTCCCACGGAGAAAGTTAACAATATTTTTATTAATAAGATCCAAGAAATGCAACGTAAACAAATTTAATGGTTTGATTCAATTATGAAGATTAAAAGAATTGTAATAAACACAAGTAAATAAATGCACACTAAGTTATCAAAGGAGAAAATCAATATATGTGAAAACTGGGACTCAATTTCCCCTTCCCTGCAATCTGGACTATTTATGCTATGACTTTTGCTACAGCAATGCTGCCAGTTAACCTGAAACACGAATTTAGCATAAGAATCTCCCGATCCAATCATGATTTCGCCTCTTTACTCATATTTCAACATATTCTTATGAGAAACCTGAACATAGAGGTTAAGTTAAGCATGGGTTTCAATTGGGCTATGTGAGGCAAGTGTATATTCCTATACTACTCGCAAATCAACTAGATTTCTCTGTGAAACTTAGCTAACCAACACATTGTTTAATATTGGTGTAATTCCAATCAACTTTCCAGCAAATTGAACTCACAATATTCTGTTTAAGATGGCCAATTAGTAAACAAAAATGAACAGTAACGTTTATATTGAACAAACTAGAACAACATCAAAATAGACAAAGTAAGCATAAACAATGTTGATTACAGTTCCGGGTACTTTATCATCCCAGCTAAATTAATTTAGCTCATTCTTGCTCTGTTAATGTCAACCAAATACACAGCCATGAATTGAATACAGAGGAAGAGGAAAGATAAACCAAAATGAAGAAGGCAACAGTAAAGGCTAGGTGAAGCTTGGTGGATTCCTCCCGTGGCTTCACTCCCTGAGATTTCCAGCAAATTTCTCTCCTCCGTATTGGCTTTTTTTCTCCCTTTCTTCTCTGGTTTTCTTTTCCTTTTTTACTCTCTGCTGCTGATTTCCTTTTTCTCCCGTCTGCGTGTGTCTTCTATTTTCCCCTCTTGTTTTCTTTCCTGCCTCCTGCGGCGCTCCCCATGCTCTTTCTTGGGTTTCCAGGTGCACCCCTCTTTAGGGCAACCAAGGATGCTGAGGTAGCATGTTGGGTCCAGCTGACTAGGCACCAAATTTGTCTTATGCGTTCTATGTCCTAATTCCTGTGCAAAGTTGTGCACTGACGTCATCCACTAAATGCACTCTGTCATATTTTTGCTGCAGAAAATGCTACAATATTTATCATCACAAAACCTGCAAATCAGAAACGACACCCTTTTTGCCACACGTTAGCACTTTTCTTCAAAGTTAACACAGAAACCTCACACAACTGAATTCCAAGAGGGTGCACCACATGAACCAAAAGTTGAGCAAATGAAGCATAGAATTAACAACTAAACCTTTGGATAAGCCAACTATAAGCCTAGAAATGCCTAATATAACTCTAATTCCTAAAGTTATCACACCCCCAAACTTAAAGTACTGCTTGTCCTCGAGCAATGACAGTACAAAACAACTGACACTACAAAACAACACAAAAACAAATGACACTAAGAGAATTCCCTTTTCAGTCAATCGTGTGGGTTCAAGGTGTGTGGTTAAGTTTCTTAGAGGCTTTTTTTTTTTTTTTTTTTTTTTTTTTTTTTTTTGTTTTTTACTTTTGTACGCTTAAGCTCTACACCAACTCTCTTTGAAATATAAGATCGGCCAATTTCCCCTTCATTTCAAATGCTCTTCCCTGGTGTGTGTGTGCACACACATCAATTGTGCTTCCTTCCTGATCACCCACATCAACCTAGACCACAATCATCAAGCCTAGAAGTGTCTCCATATGTTGACCTATTGACTCCTTCTCCACTAATGAGGAATCACCTAGCACTTGGAATCAGACTTAAGACTCAACTTCTTCCCAACTTGACACCTCATTCCCAATTCTTCTGATTTTTAATCTTATCTTTCTCTCTGTTTTTTTATTTTTTTTATTTTTTTATTTTTTTTTTTACTTCTTTGTAATGCCACAATTGCCTTTTTACGCGGATGCCAACATTTGTGATGAAGACACCCGGTTACTCAACAAAGTCGCAATTCAAAGTGCTTTGCATACTCTTATCTCAGTTTACCGTTTGACGCAAAAGTGAACATGAGGCTCATGCTCACTCCTGGTTACTAAGCTCCAAGACAGCGGAGTAAATTTTTTTTTCTTTCAAACTAAACAGAATGGTGTCGTTAATCAAATCTTTGTCTCAGTCATCCTCCTCATACTAGGCTTCCTAGAATTTTGCCTTAAAGGAGTCTCTAGGTCAATTCTAGAAACCTAAGCTCTCAAAGCAATCTAGCCATCAATAAGCTCTCGGGAAGTAACATTACGAATGTTGTGGAAAGAATTGCATAGAGAATTACATTCAAAAGTCAAGTTCTATGGGTTTTCACTTACATCCAATTCAAGTTAATCTATCACAAAAGCATGCCTTGACTTAGCCCACCTCATCATTGAAAACCACACACTTTTCACACCACAAAAATTGATAAAAAGAAACTCTCCCTGCACACAAAACACACCATAAATAACAAAACAGAAAAACCAGAAAAATAACCAATCTAAAAAATAAACGAATCGGTCTCAACACAAACAGGAAATACACCCCCCCCCCCCCCCCCCCCCCCCAAACTTGAAATCAACAGTGTCCCCACTATTGAAAAAGAAAATAAGGCACAAAAAACAAAAACAAAAATTAACTAAATAGATAAAAGAAATAATAAGAAAAATGAGGCTAAAAGAGCATCCCTGAAGGGCTAGAAGTTGCGATCTGGCCTTAATCATCTGCTCCAGCTACAATATCGGTGTCATCGGCGGGCTGACCAGCAAATGGATCGAGAACATGCGTGGAAAATTCAGGGAATGTGTGGAGCCTTTGGTATTTGCCCTGAAGGGTCTTTGTATTGCAGCATCTTGGGCCTCCATATACTTCCACACGTCCTGCTGACTTTTCCGGGCCAGCCGAAGCTCCTCAAGAATGTCATGTTGAGTTAGCTCAACAAGAGAAATCATGCTCTCTAAACTGGATAAGCGACTGGACACCGAGTCCTTAGCGTTCGAAGGAGGTGTGGGATTGATTGAGGAAGGTTGAGTTGGTGCCTCTAGAGGGTCTTTATCAGAGTGGTCAAACCTGGCTCTCTTAACATTGCTTTCTTATGAAATCCTAGCCACTGTAGCAGGAATAATCTTTTGAGTTATCTTCAGCCTTTTCTCTCCACCCTCGAATACTACTTCATGCATTTCACATAGCCATTCGGATAGCCCTAACGACTCAAACTGCCTTCCTCTAGTTGTACCGGTTGATCTTGCTTCCAAACAAGGCAACTGACTACTCACTTATGAAATTTCTCCTTCCAACTCTTGCTCCAGCCCCTTTAAAGCACTAGTATCCATTACATTCACCACAGAGCATTCTTCCACTTCATCAGGAAATCTCATTGCTTTGAGAACATTAAAAGTGACCTGCTCATCATTGACTCTCATTGTTAACTCCCCTTTTTGAACATCTATTAATGTCCTCCCTATAGCTAGGAATGGTCTCCCCAAAATGATGGGCACCTCCATGTCAGCTTCATAATCTAAAATAATAAAATCAATGGGGAAGATGAACTTGTCTACTTTCACCAGGAAATTTTCAATTTTTCCTTCTGGATGAGCTAGAGATCGATCAGCCAATTGAAGAGTTACTGTGGTTGGCCATGCTTCCCCGATTCCAAGCTTCTTGAAAATTGACATAGGCATAAGATTTATGCTTGCTCTTAAATCACAGAGAGCCTTGCCAAAGTAGTTATTGCCAATAGCACGTGGGATGGTGAAACTCCCAGGACCTTTTAACTTTGGAGGGATTTTATTATGCAAGATGGAGCTGCTTTCTTCCGTCATTGCCACTGTTTCGAATTCTCCAAGTCTTCTTTTCTTTGAAAGAATGTCCTTCATGAATTTCACATAACTAGGTATTTGCTCAAACGCCTCCACCAATGGAATGTTTATATGGAGTTGCTTCAAGACATCTAGAAACCTTTTAAACTGCTTATCTTGCTGCTGCTTTTGAAATCTTTGAGGAAAAGGTGGCGGTGGTCTATCATTCTGCTTTTTTGCCAAACTTTGTTGCAGCGTTGGTGTATGTTTTGCTGTAGGTTCTGCAGCATCGCTTCATTTTCCAAATTCTTCCACTTCTGCTTCCTTTTCCACTTCACCTTAGATTGAAGAGGGCTTTTCTTGGCACTTGGGCTGTCTAGTCACTCGCTCTACTTATCTCCCATTCCTCAGCGTAATAGCCTGCAATGCTCTTTGCCTTCACGCCTAGGATCTTTGGTATTACTTGGGAGTGCGCCTGTAGGGTGACTTGTCAAGGCATTAGCTAACTGCCCCACTTGATTCTCCAAGTTTCTTAATGAAGCTGCTTGGTTCTGAATCAGTGCTGACTGATTTTGAATAATGGCATCATTCTTTGCCATGTACTCCTTCAATAAGTGCTCCATCGATGAATGTTGTTCTGCTGGTTGATGTCTCGGATGTTGTGGAAATCCAGGGGGATGTTGAGGGCAGGTTGCTGTTGAAGACGATGCTACATTCTGCCCTTGAGAGTTCCAGGAAAAATTTGGGTGTTGCCTCCAACCTAGGTTATAAGTATTGGAATACAGATTGTGGTTTTTGTTGAAGTTACCCACATAACATGCTGATTCCGGATTGGATGGACAATTGTCAAAGAGATGCCCTTCACCATAGTAAATACAAGAGACTACTGTAAACTGAGGAGAATTCACCCCTTGGTTCATTGAGTTCAAGATACTTGCCAAGGATGATACTTGAGCGGTTAAAGCGGTCACTGCATCCACCTCATGCACTCCTGCTACTCTCCTAGCCGTAGCTGCTCTCTCCGTAGGCCATTGATAGTTGTTATTAGCCATCCGTTCCAAAATCTCATAGGCCTCATTGTACGTCTTTGCCAAAATAGCACCATTGGCTGAAGCATCTACTATGGTCCAAGTTTGCCCATTAAGTCCATTGTAGAACGTCTCCATCTGAATCCAATGAGGAATCCCATGGTGAGGGCATTTGCGCAACAATTCCTTAAACCTCTCTCAAGTCTCATACAAAGATTCCCCCTCATGTTGCTGAAATCCAGTAATGTCATTTCTAAGCTTGGCATTCTTAGTTGGAGGGAAATACTTCATCAAGAATTTCTCTGCCAAGTCATTCCACGTCACCACAGAGTCTGAGGGTAGAGAGTTTAACCATACCCTAGCTCTATCCCTCAAGGAATAAGGGAAGAGCTTTAGTCTCAAAGCTTCATCTGTAACCCTTGGAAGCTTAAAAGTATCACAGACTTCCATGAATAGCCTGAGATGCAAGTAGGGATCTTCAGTTACCATGCCATTGAATTGGCCTACTGTTTGCAACATATTGAACATGACCGGTTTAAGCTCAAACTGAGGGTCCTGTATCTCTGGCCTAATGATGCCCGGATTGAGCCCATGTAAAATCGGTATGGCATATTCTCTAATGGTCCTATCCCTGTCATCTACCATGGCTGCCTGGTTAACTGGATTGTTAACATGTACGGGCTGCTCCAGGTTGGCTGCATTGCCGGCAACTTCCTCTGCCATTCCTTCAACAACTGCTAGACCTTACTGCTCCCTTCTCCTTGCTAGGAACGTTTTGTCAATTTTTGGATCCAAGGGCAGCAAATCACGGTCTTGTTGTCGATTCATGCGAGAAGAAGAATAGCTGAAATTGACGGAAACAAAATTGTCATGTAAAATAACAAAAACACTTGAATCTTACAAAGATCAACTATGATAATTGTCCTCGGCAACGGCGCCAAAAACTTGTTGCGTGATTTTTATGCTCGCAAGTGTACGTGCCGAACAAGTAATAAAGTGTGAGTAGAGTATCGTTCCCACGGAGAAAGTTATCAATATTTTTCTTAATAAGATCCAAGAAATGCAACGTAAACAAATTTAATGGTTTGATTCAATTATGAAGATTAAAAGAATTGTAATAAACACAAGTAAATAAATGCACACTAAGTTATCAAAGGAGAAAATTAATCTATGTGAAAACTGGGACTCAATTTCCCCTTCCCTGCAATCTGGACTATTTATGCTATGACTTTTGCTACAGCAATGCTGTCAGTTAACCTGAAACACGAATTTAGCATAAGAATCTCCCGATCCAATTATGATTTCGCCTCTTTACTCATATTTCAACATATTCCTATGAGAAACCTGAACATAGAGGTTAAGTTAAGCATGGGTTTCAATTGGGCTATGTGAGGCAAGTGTATATTCCTATACTACTCGCAAATCAACTAGATTTCTCTGTGAAACTTAGCTAACCAACACATTGTTCAATATTGGTCTAATTCCAATCAACTTTCCAGCAAATTGAACTCACAATATTATGTTTAAGATGGCCAATCAATAAACAAAAATGAACAGTAACATTTATATTGAACAAACTAGAACAACATCAAAATAGACAAAGTAAGCATAAACAATGTTGATTACAGTTCCGGGTACTTTATCATCCCAGCTAAATTAATTTAGCTCATTCTTGCTCTGTTAATTTCAACCAAATACACAGCCATGAATTGAATACAGAGGAAGAGGAAAGATAAGCCAAAATGAAGAAGACAACAGTAAAGGCTAGGTGAAGCTTGGTGGATTCCTCCCGTGGCTTCACTCCTTGAGATTTCCAGCAAATTTCTCTCCTCCGTATTGGCTTATTTTCTCCTTTTCTTCTCTGGTTTTCTTTTCCTTTTTTACTCTCTGCTGCTGATTTCCTTTTTCTCCCGTCTGCGTGTGTCTTCTATTTTCCCCTCTTGTTTTCTTTCCTGCCTCTTACGGCGCTCCCCATGCTCTTTCTTGGGTTTCCAGGTGCACCCCTCTTTAGGGTAACCAAGGATGCTGAGGTGGCATGTTGGGTCCAGCTGACGAGGTACCAAATTTGTCTTATGCGTTCTGTGTTCTAATTCCCGTGCAAAGTTGTGCACTGACGTCATCCACTAAATGCACTCTGTCACATTTTTGCTGCAGAAAATGCTGCAGCATTTATCATCACAAAACCTATAAATCAGAAACGACATTCTTTTTGCCACACGTTAGCAATTTTCTTCAAAGTTAACACAAAAACCTCCCACAACTGAATTCCAAGAGAGTGCACCACATGAACCAAAAATTGAACAAATGAAGCATAGAATTAACAACTAAACCTTTAAATAAGCTAACTAAGCCTAGAAATGTTTAAAATAACTCTAATTCTTAGAGTTATCACATGTCCGAAGCCCATTTAAGGTGATGTCTGATGGGATACGTGTAGTGGCGCGCTGGCCGATGCACGTCTATTGGTGTAGTGCCATGATGGCTGCGGGTGACCCAATCTGAGCCATTGAGGAGAAAAGATCCTGGTCATCAGTTCGAAATAGGGGAATTTTAATGAAAAATAATTGAAAAGGCTCTCTCTGTCGTCAGCCTCCCGAGTACGCTTTTTCTCTCTAAAAAATTTCTCTCCGTCGATTTTCTTTCGCCACCGAAGACCGATTTCTGTCTCTCCGATCGTTCCGCCTGCGATTCCCTTTCGCCGCGATCACCGTGCAGCTGTTATTCACTGATGTTCTACTCGTTTTCGTCTGACGCGAAGCCACCCCGAGCCCTCTCAAGTTCACCGTCATTGCCATTGCGTTTTCCGGCCAAGGTATGCCGTTTCTTTTTTTTTTTTAATTTTTCTGTTTGTTCTTTCATGATTTTATTCTATTCTACCGATTGAACCCATGGAAATTCGTACAATTTTAGGGCTTGATTTTCTTGGTGTTGCATGCTTGTTGTTTTCGCCCTAGGATTGAATTTTGGTGAGGAAAACCAAGAAATCCGTAGTTTGATTATGGAGGGTTCGTCCAAAAGCACGATTATTGCTGCTGACTCTTTGGTTGATGACTCCTCAGTCCCGACGTAATCTGCTGCATGTTGTCACGATTGGCGAGCGACTCGAGATGGAACTCAGTACAGATGAGTTTCGAGTTCTGTACTATATGGAACAAAGTTCTGTGAGGGTGTTTGGTATGAGAATTTGAATCATGACTCAATATAATATTTTTTTTTATAAAAAATACACGTAAATTAAAAATGATTCTAAATTATAGTTTTAAATCTGTGAACCAAACGCTAACTGAGTCCACGAGCCGATTTATGCTGATGGCGACTAAAGGAATCACATAGACTTTGGAGAGGTCCAAAATTTGGACCACTGGAAATCTCGATATGCCATGGCCCTTAGGGTGATTGATTCTCTGGATTGCTCGTTCAAGTCTCCTACCATATGGGGCCACCCTGGTGAGGCGCTGATATTTGCTAAGTGTTGTTTTGTTTTTGCTTGGTGATTCGGCAGCATTGCACCCCGTTGCAGATAGCTGCCCGAACGTGTTCTGCCACCGACTCCTCTTCAGGTATGTATGTGCACTTATATGCTTGTGAGCTTTGAGCAAGCCCCCTGAGTGCTTTATTGACTGAATTCGACTGTTGTAACTTGAACAACGAATGGAACCAAAAGGCCGGAGCTATCGAAAGAAAGGATGGAGGCCCTGATGAAAAACAAGAAGTCGCCAGCTTCTTGGGAGAGTTGATCAGCTTGAAAATTGAAGCTACTGCTTCGGGCGGCTCGTCGGCTCCTCGTTTGCAGTTCTCTTGTCGTTGGTTCCTCATATTCCGAAGCGGAAGAGAGAGGAGACTGATGCATTTGAGTTGTTCATTCCTGAGACCTTGTCCTTATAGCTTGATGTTTCAGCTGCTGCTCGAGTGAGTTATTCCTTAGTCACCCGTGCTGATGCGGATGTTCTTTCTGACTGTTCACATCGTTCGGTGGCCGAGTAGAGTTATGGTCGAGTTATGCAGGGGAACTCGCTTATTTTGTGCTTATCTTCTTTCTTAGGTTGTTTGAGATGCCGAAGATCACGTGCTTACTGCTTTCTTGTTTCTCAGGTAGGTCAAATGGTGATGTTTCTTTCTGACTGCTGCTCGCTGCTTGCAAAGGAGAGGAGTGAGTTGCTGGCTGAGCGCGAGCAGTTGAAGCAATTGACCACTCTGGATGCTAAGCGTTTGAACGAATCTTTGTAGTTAAAAATAGCTCTAGCTCCCTGAAATCCATCACTACTCCTTCTATAATCAGGCAAATAGTAAGTCTCACCCCTGTAGGGAGTGAGAAAACAATCATTGTTCACGTAGGCCGCATCAACAAGATAGTAGTTTCCTACGCAACTTATATAAGTTAGGATGCAATTTATGCCCCATACTATTTAATAACCATAACTACAAAGACATTATGAAGTATAACCTGGAGGGGGACGTGGGAACTTAAACCTAGGATTGGAGAGTGCATCCGTGAGTACTCGTTCATCGTGCGCTGAACCTTCCCAACCAGATAGCAAGTACATGAACTTCATGTCAAATGAGCAGGCTGTCAATATGTTCTGGGAGTTCACACCCTTCCTATTTCGATACGCCATAGGATTTGAAACACCAATCGGTGTACAAGGTATATGAGTTCCGTCAATTGCGCTTACACAGTCCTGAACGCCAAATATTGGTTTGTTGATATTATAAAGAAGAACAATGAAAGATATTAAAAAAATTAGATGTAAAAGAACCACACAACTTACGTCAAACCATGAACTATATCTTTGACGATTTCGACGCAAAAAAACATGCACCTTCTCATAGTTTGGCGGTTTAATGAAATCATCGTGTAGTACACATATAACGTTTAGGACATCGCTAGACCGCTGTGAAATGGTATCCCCAGAATGTTGCCATATATCTTGCGATTCACGGTTAGTTTGACTTTGGCAAACAATTGTTAAAAACACAAATAACTCTTCTGGTACAGTCATATTTTGTGATGGTTGTAACAACCGTCTTTCAGTTAGTATATCACAGAGAACCATAAATGCACGTGGTCCCATACGCACCTTGTTAAACATTGCAGTCTCATTAATATTTGCTAATAACTCGTTTGCCTTATCTATGCCCCTCAGAGAAGAAATGTTGACAGGCCTTGGTACAGTTTCATTATCCAAGTATGCGACAGCGACTGTTGCAGCACCTATTGCAGCAATTAACCGTCATCGTCTTTGCGAAGATGTCTTTGTGTCGCGTTCGTCATTTGCATTTCCTAATCCTTGTCCCTACATCTTGTTGCTTCACAATTTAACCTGTACACAACATAATTTCATGAATACTACAACATTAGTTTTCCATAAGTGCAACAAACTGCCATACATTTCCAAAGAACACAATCACTTTCCACTACATAAACACAAATCCGGTTTAAGTAGCTATACTCATGCAGTAATAAAAACACAAATCGAAACGCAAATCCGATTTTACAACTTGAAGTCAAATAATACATATCAAACACTCAAATTAACAATAAAGACACCACTAATCCGTGGTCGAACATAAGGGAAAAATCGACCATTACATAACATGGGTTATAGCAGAAGAAGCAAGTCACAATGCACTTTAAGGAGTTGGTGGATGGCTATATGGGTTGGGTGGTTAGTTGAAGGAGTTTGGGGGTTGTTCGAAGGGGGGAGGTTGCTGGTTGTAGTTGTTGGGTGGCTGATGGAAGGAGTTTGAGGCCTATCCATAAGGATTAGGAACCTGCGAGAAGTTTTGAGAAGGCTGTCTATAAGGATTAGGAACCTGGAATGTAAACGGAGTTTGGGGCACGTTAACAAAGTCATTTAAGAAGGCCCTCCTCATCGGCTCATCAATGGTTGCCCAAACTCCACGATAGTCGTTGTCTTTAACTATTTTCTCAAACGCATGGGACCGCGTACGCAGATCAATTCCCATGTCAATTAGCGACGATAATATGATACTCGCTTCACTTGGTCTGTTGACGGTGTTGTTACTCAGAAGGCTCTCTTTGCTTGAACGAATATCTTCTCACAACTCATCATGCATGTCCTTCACCACTTCAAGTAGTTCCTCCCGTGTATTGTCATTGGATTTGCGTGCCCTTACCAATTTATTATGAATCACACGTGAAGATGAGGCGACATTGGTCACATTTACCCGTGCAGCGCGTTCCACGCGGCGGCCAAAAGCAACTCGAACCTCATCATCATCACTGTTTTGATAGGGAGAATTTATGTCGTTTTGTGGTTCCTCATCCCCAGCTCCAACTTCGTTGGAGGGCAAACCGTCGACAAGCTCTTGTGGCACGGCCAGGTGATATGCACATGCACCAGTAGCAACAACTCGGTTGGGGAAAATGGCGGCCATGTACTCCTCATTCAGCTTCCAACCGTGACTAAAAAGTGTGTTTACTTCACGGTTTCTCTAGTAAAAATTTTTTTAAAAACTTGTAAGTTTCTTACATTATTAAACGGAGTGTAATTACCCATTTTTATGAATAACGGAGGACTAATGAATCACACAACTTACCTTGCAAAGATCTTTCCGTAGATCCTCTGAGCATGTAAAAGTTTTGTTGATAGGATCTTACCCAACTCCTGTATGGTTTTGCAGCATTTTGAACGCTGTGTAAACCTTACTAAGCTGGCGGTGTTTCGCCCTCAGTCGCTCACCCTCTAGTACGTATCCATCAAAAAAACTGGCCATCTGAGTAGCCCATTGGTTGTAGTCACGTGATTCTGGTTGCTTCCTATGGTTTGCGCCATGGTATTCGTATAATCACTCAAGTAGGAATGCCTCTGTTTGGGCGCTCCAATACAATGGCCTCTCATCTGTGCTTCTCCTAGACATTTACAAACGCATATGACAACCAAGTGGAGGACAATGTGTGCAAAGAACATGGCATGGACAATAGTTTAAAAATACAACCACCTAAATAAACAACCAAATAACAGGGCAGGGACTCACCATCTGCACAATTCTTATCTGTGTGGCTGTCTTTTTTTTTTCTTTCCCAAGTTATACACTAAAATCACAGGGCAGGAACAATAGATTGCAATGGCCTGTGCAATACTACTTATCACAGGGCAGGACCAAAATCACAGGGCAGAACCAAAATTCTCGGTTTGGCAAAGTTCTTCTAATCAAGGAATAAGAATATGATTATATGCGGTTTTGGTGGGAAAACATATTGCATGGCAAACTTGTCATCACAGGGCATTGTCATATTGCATGTTGCATTATCAAGTCCAGTCTTTCGGTGGCATGGCAGACTTGGATATAAAAATATGATAAGCATTATAAATCCTAATTTGGACTCTCCAAGAGCAATAAAAACAATAACAAAAAATAAACAATAAGTAATGGTTTATTCTCAAAACTACAAGTCAGAATATGGATCCAAACATGGCAGTTTTCATATCCTGAAGTCGTTTTAGAGTAAGTTCTCGAAGCTTAAAGAGGGTATCTATCATACATTGCAGTTTTCATACCCTGAAGCTAAGGGACAATACACAATAGATTAGCAACGCAAAATTGCTTCTTTTTTTTTTCTCCCTTTAAGCCCAAAAATTTCCTAAACCACCTAGTGGCCTTGCAAAATTTCTCCTCTTTTTGTTCAAGAAACAACATTATGTCTGAATAAAAGTGATGCCTAAAGATGTTCATACACTATCTATAACAAATTTTTTTCTAGTTCGGAACAAACTAAAAAGATTGGAAAAGTAAAAAAACAAAAAAAACAAAAAAACAAAAAAACGAGTCAGAGCAAAAAATAAAAGCTGAAATACAACTGCAATCAAAACACAGGCTTTGTTTGAATCCCTCTGGGATACATCCGCCAAGATGAACCCATTCAAAAGACCAACCATGCCAAACAATATCTTAAGCATCTATAGATCTGTAAAAAAAGAAGTGAATAAGGTGAGGATCGCATACCGTTACAGAGTTCGAGCAAGAGGAGGAGATGAACGTCACCGTCGGTAGAAAACCAAACGCAGACGAAGGTATTCTAAAATTTATCCGTTCGCTTTTGTTTCCTCTCCGGTAAGGGCGAGAAATTGCATAGTTTCGGCTAAATTTGTACTGAATGTGAAGCTTCCGTCGATTGTTCACGAGCAACCTACTTGAAAGGGTAGGCATTAACTTAGAGAAAAGGCTTCCACCGAGATGTGGGTTCTTTACCCGGTTAATATGCAAGAAGGCACAGAAGCGTGAAAATTTTTTGGAGAAGGGAAAAGGCTGACTCGATTCTCTAAAAGAGCTCGAGAAGAACGAAAGCCTGAGAAAAACTAGAGATTCTCTGGCAGAATAGTCGACCCGAATAGTGTGAGGAAGGTGGGAGTCATTACTCCGTTACTGTTTGTGCACTATGTAGAGGGATTGAAGTTGGGCTGAATCAAGGGGGAGCTGATTTTCAATTAGGACCCAAAAAACCCTCGGGGACTCAAACCCTGATACCAACCCAACAGACTGAAAAATGGATCCAAATATGGATTCTTGCATTTGACTCCGAATCATGAACCCGAATCCTTCAACCAAACGGGCTCTAAGGCCCCGTTCATTTCATCGATTCGAATTTAAAATTTGAGTTTTGCTACAGTAAAAAGCTCTCAGAAACAGTCACATCTAACTTTTTTGCTACAGTAAAAAGCTCTCACATAAAGTCACATTTCAACTCGAATCAACAAACTAAACGAGCCATAATTTGTTCAATTCACAACTCAAGTAACTTGAGTTATGACTTGAGTTGTGTATGTGAGAGAAAAACCATATAGTAAAAAAGTTAAATTTGAATTTTTGTGGAGATTCTTTATGGTGGAACATTAAAAAGTGCTCCACTAGTGGAGCACTGAGTTTTTAACCGTTCGATTAGTTTTTTAACGGTTAGATTTGTGCAAGTCCGTATTAAAAATTTACAATGCACCACATAAGACTGTTTTTGCTGCAGATCTGGCCGTTGAAAAAGTAATCGAATGGAAGAAAACAATGCTCCACCAGTAGAGCACTTATTGGGGTTCCATCATAAAGAATCTAATTTTTGTGTGAGAAAACACTGTAGTAATAAAATTTGAGTTGTGATTTGAGTTGTAAAATGAAAAAGTCTAATTTTTAAAAAATAAACTTTAAGTATTAAAGATTATTGATTTTATAAGAAGAATAGTATTGCATTGCTTAACACAACCAAACACAGTAAAATAATATTCCTAGAAATCTGAAAAAGGATTCCTATATGCAACTAAATGTTATAATGAATGTTTTATGAAAATCACATTACTTTGTATCACTTTGTTAGTAATATAATTTCTGCTGCCACATACCAAATGCCCCCTTAGTAATTAGTTATTCTTTATAGATTCAAAAAGAAAAAGGATCATTTTATGCATTTGTTACATGGTTAAAATCATTTTGGTATCTTCTGTTATAACGAAATATCTCATTGATACTCTGTATTTATTATAATATATTAAAGTGGTACCTTTACCTTTAAAATTTTTTTTTATACCTTGAGACCTTCTTTTGAGATACAATGTCCTAACTGTTATTTTTATTAACTAAATAGAACATTTATTTAAAAACTAAAATATTATTTTAATATTATAAAAAATATAAGATATTAACGAGATATTTCACTATAACACAACGTACCAAAATAATTTTATTACTTTACTAGTTTTGGATGCTGACATTTATTTTTATTGGTCCAATTACCCTATGATGTATGAAATATACAATATTAACATATCATTTAATGAATTGACTATTTTTAGACAAGATGTAACGCTAGTATATCAAGTTTGGATTTTGCTAGGGATAAATTGTTAAAAGAAACAAATAGATCTAAAACGGTATTTAGAAAAAAAATAATAATAAAGAGTTCTTTTTTTGTTTGTTTTTCTTTTCTCGTTTCTACATTTCTCGTTTTTTTTTTTTGTTCTGCATATAAATGAAAATATATGCAAAACAATTTCTCCTATGAATCTAACGGCTCTAGCAATTTATAGTTTAGATCCTACCTACGGTGTAGAATCCAGGATTTATGGCTTCCCATGTGGTCCCACCCGGACATCTACGGTGTAGAATCCATCTCATTCCTTTATAAACTTCGTCAAACAATCTTGAATCTACCCACTGATCAAAACGCACACCAACAGTCCAACTCCCCTTCTTCCTCATTTCTCTCTCTCTCTAAAAACCCAGAAAAAAATAGCAACGATGCAGTACAATAACCTGGGAAAATCCGGTCTGAAAGTGAGCCAGCTCTCGTACGGAGCATGGGTGAGCTTCGGCAACCAGCTGGACGTGAAGGAGGCGAAATCCCTCCTCCAGTGCTGCCGCGACCACGGCGTGAACTTCTTCGACAACGCCGAGGTCTATGCCAACGGCCGGGCCGAGGAGATCATGGGCCAGGCCATCCGGGAGCTGGGCTGGCGCCGCTCCGACATCGTCGTCTCCACCAAGATCTTCTGGGGCGGCCCAGGCCCAAACGACAAGGGCCTCTCCAGGAAGCACATCATCGAGGGGACCAAGGCCTCGCTCAAGAGGCTCGACATGGAGTATGTCGATGTCGTTTACTGCCACCGCCCCGACTCGTCGACGCCGATCGAGGAGACGGTGAGGGCGATGAACCATGTGATTGACAAGGGATGGGCTTTCTATTGGGGGACCAGTGAGTGGTCGGCCCAGCAGATCACTGAGGCTTGGGGGATCGCCGAGAGGCTCGATCTTCTTGGGCCTATTGTGGAGCAGCCTGAGTATAATCTCCTCTCCAGGCACAAGGTTCGTTCTTTTACTCTCTTTTTATGATTGATTTTTTTGTTTTGTTTTGTTAATTTTCTTGGAAGTGGGGAATGGGGACTTAGAACTTGGTGGATTTAGGATTGTGCAGGTACAGCATTTTGTATTTGTTACACTTTTTTTTGTTTTTTTTTTTTTTTTGCTATTTGAAGTTTTTTTTTTTTTTTTGCTATTTGAAGTTTTTTTTTTTATTTTTTATTCTCAAATGGTACCTTTTTTTTTTGGAAATGGGAAATTGGATTCGGTAGGATTCATTTTATAAATTTTACGGTTTCTGATCTGTTGTTGCCAGCACTCATGGCACATGCTTACTTGTGAATTGTGATCCAATTTGTGCATTTGTGGCACAAGCTTGGTTTATTTTTTGATTTATTTATTTTTCTTTTCTTTTCTTTTCTCTTTTAACAAGGATTTCTTACTTCTTCGTCGTCTTTTTCTTTTATTTTTTTATGTTAAGTTTGTATGTGGCCAGCTGAGATTTTGTTAATACATATATATATATATAGACACATACATACAAATATATATATATGTGTGTATGTATGTATGTATGCGTATATTTCGGGAAATGAGAATATGGGTTCGTTGTATTGAATAGGATCTGGTCTAATATGTTGCCACGGTGATGGGACTAGGAGTACTAGTGTGCTAGCCGTGATTCTATTTGAAGCCTGTTTGTATTTATTGCGAACGGATTTATATTCTCTCTCTCTCTCTCCATTTCAGAGTTCTGAGGAAATGTACTTTGCTTTTTATTTCTTTATTTCTGAAGTTTTTGAGGTTTTGTGATGGGATTTTTTGGTTCCCCGTGGAATGAGAACTTGGGAGTGAGATTTTATTAAGAGGGGTTTTATTTGTTGCCACCACTCATGTCACTAGGTTGCTCGTGATCCAATTTGAAGCTCAAGGAAGCTTATTTATTTATTTAAGATTGGCTTATGAATTTTACGCATATACTAGTTCATTGTTTAATTCGTTTTGTAGAATCTAAATCACAAGATTCGTTTATCTTTAGAAGGGCACAAACTTGCTTATTGGCTAAAGGCAATAGTTTTGATGCTGAAGTTTGTTGTTTTCAAATTTTCTTGGTGATTTTTTAGTATATTTGAATCATCAACTTGGTGCCACTTGAGGCTAACTCAAGTGGTTGGGTTGGGTTTGTGTGTGTATGCGTGTGTCACCAGGGTTCGAATTCTAGTGGTTTTATTTCTTGTTAATGAAGTTGGAGTCATAGGCCCAAATCGTATAAAAAAATCATAAACTTGGTTGGTTGATATATTGTGTTATACTCATTCAAACTAGGCATGTGATTGATCTCTAAAAACAGGTTGTCACCATGTAAGTCCCCTGTTTTTGGGCTTAATTTAATAGTATTATTAGTAGAGAAGATCTGGTCACATGAGCCAGAAAGACTCGTCCATATGCTTAATCCAGAAATGGGATCACGTAGATTTGATGATTAGTTGAATATATAGTATCAAAAATGTGATATTTAGTTTGGATTTATTTTATGTCGTATATGTTTTCGATGCAGGTTGAATCGGAGTACCTCCCACTCTACAGCAACTATGGTGTTGGTCTGACCACTTGGAGTCCACTTGCTTCTGGAGTGCTCACCGGAAAATACAACAAGGGAGTTATACCACCTGACAGTCGATTTGCATTGGAAAATTACAAGGTAATATCTTACTACGTCCTCTCCTCTGCATTGGAGTCCAATTTCTTTTGCCAAAGCTTTCTCGATTCGACTTTTCACTTGAAGAAAGATGGCCAAAGTTATTTATTATTCAATAAGTACTTACGAGAAAGTAGTTTTCATTGTAACGCTAATGTCTTTGCAAATTATTTAGGTATCTGATAAGGCTCTAGCTCAAACACAACAGAATGAATCAAAGAAGGAACCTTTATTGATATTGAATTGAAGACTTACAAAAGAGAATGACTAATCCTAACAACGGCAGTGGTATTCAAGAGACCACCAACTCTCCCAAGGGTCACCCCAAAATCCAATAAACCAGACCAACCACATTAACAACTAAACCACTTATTTATACTTCTAAGCCAATTCTAACAAACTACTAACTTCTCTAACCATTTACTATCAAGTTCCTACCTGTATCATGTCATATTGTTAGATACATGTAAGCTTAATGAGATATAAGTTATTTAGTGTTTCAAAAAACAGAAAAAAAAAAAGAAAAAAGGAATATAAGTTCTTGTTATGTGAATAGGATTATTGGTAATCCTCTTTAGTGACTTTGATCTATGATTCAATCTGCTTGCATGGTTTGGCTATTCAAGTAATATTGTGGCGGTGATTTTGAATATTGCTCAACTCAACAAACATTCAAGTGTAAATTGTCTCCTAACCAAAAAAGTAAAAATGCTTAAGCCAATAAACTACCTATAAAATTTAATACAAGATTCCCTAAATAATTGATAATTGATAATTTATAGTATGTTTGAATAGAATTTAGTATTTCTTAAGATGTTATGCTTAGAACTTTTCACAACTAGTTTATTATTCTGTTTACATATTCTCGGTCCATAATTTTAATTTTTATGCCGTGCAGAATCTTGCTAACAGGTCACTGGTTGAGGATGTGTTGAAAAAGGTAAATGGCCTGAAGCCAATTGCAGATGAACTAGGTGTCCCATTATCTCAACTTGCAGTTGCATGGTGTGCTGCAAACCCTAATGTCTCATCAGTTATTACTGGTGCTACCAAGGAGTCTCAGGTTCGTATCGACTTGTACATTACGCTGACTGAAAGACATTCACAAGCAATTTGTGTGATCTTTGTTGCTACATTGTCTTTGTACACTCCACTAAGTTACTATTTTCCTCCATGACAGATTCAAGAGAACATGAAAGCCATCGATGTTATCCCCTTGCTGACGCCTGCGGTGTTGGAGAAGATCGAAGCTGTCGTGCAAACTAAGCCAAAGCGTCCGGATTCGTATAGGTAGACGTGGGATATTCATTCAAAGTCCTTCACACTTCTGCACATTGCAGGTCCATTCTTCCAACATTTAGGGATAGAGAGTTCATGCCTTCATCAGTAAATTGCACCTGGTTTTTCTTATTTCGTGTTGTTTTGCCCTTGGACTAACATATGCATCTCTTAAATTTATGGCGTTTTTCTTCCCCCTCAGGTATTATGATGTTGGGGAATATGAGTCTCTCTATAGTTGAGCAATACTCTGCATTGTAATCAATCCCTGTTTGTTTTTGTTTTTCCATTTGCTGTTTGTTTTCCTTTTGCAGTAAAAGGGTGGCGTTGCATTTATAAGAATTGATATCAAACTCTCTTAAAAATTGAGATCGACGGTTGGAAAGTTGTATTGAATGATGAGGGAACAAATAATTCTTCTCGAGTCTTGTTATTTCTCCCCAGAGCCAAGGCTCTACAAATTCCCAGAAAATTCCGTCACTCGCTCACACCCATTTATTTACTAAGTTGGCTAATAAACTCAAACATCCTGTAGAAGTCGAGACAAGGCAACAGAAAGAGCAAACTTTCCTTCCCTTCACCCATAGATGTTTTCTAAGTAACCACTCAATTTATTACAATTGTTACGTCAATATCTTATGGTCAAGGGAATTGAACTTCAAGTGAGATTTGTTACTCTTCGTTCCCCCCTACGGGTATAGGATTAGGATTAGATCGTACACCCGCAAACAAGACTGCCATAGGCAGCTACCAACTTTCCTTTCGAAGCTCGTCGGAGATCTATTCCTCGTCTTCTGCCTCAGCATGTTCTGTGGTTCCCTCCGCTTGTTTTTGTCCTTAAGTGGAATTTAGGTCCACCATATTCATTGCCTGTTTATTCCTTTGATTCCTCTGATTTAGAGTTAGCGCGGATCCTCATCTAAAATCCTCTTAAATTCGGGGATTTTCTTTTGACAATTGAATCTCTTGCTTTTACTGGCTAAAAGGAAAATGGCATGTAATCCTTATGGAACGGTGCATTGACGAGTAAAAATTGAAGTAGCAGTTAAAATCACACCTATATATCTATATCTGTACTGTGTTTTTGATAAACATCACTTCTGTGGTACTACTATTCAATTATATTACTTCTGTGAAAAAGTTTGAAACATACTACTTTTAAAGGTTAAAGAGACGAACTTGACCTCAAACCAGATATATTTAATTACTGATAAACTTGAGTCCATCATTGATAAATTGGGGTTAATCACTGATAAACTGTGATTTATCACTTAAGGGTAAAAGGGTCTTTATACAAAGTAAAATTGAGGTATATCAAATGAATAAAAGTGATAAAAACAATTATGTTGTTCACAAAAATAGGATACAACCTAATTAACTATATCTGTATCTACACTGCTATATACATAAATAAAAGAGGTAAAGTGTGTTTTGGTCATTTCCTCTCTCTTTCGCCAGATGACAGTTGATTCTTTTTTCTTCCCCTTTTTTGTTTACCTTTTCTCTTTCTTTTTTTTTTCTCATTCTTGGTTTTTATTTTTTGACTAAAAGCTACTATACTCTTTTTTTTTTTTTACCCTTTTTTTTCTTTTCTTCCCCATTTTTTTTTTCTTTTACATTTTCTCAATCTCATTCTTTTTCTTTTTCGTTATTGTTTAATTTCTTTTTTCTTTTGTTAAAAGATCCTATACATTTTAGTTTTTTTTAATGGTATGTATTTTAAAATACTTTTTTACTCTTGTTTTTGTTAAAATAATTCTTTTCAAATATATTTGCTTTTTTCTTTTATCTCTTTTCCCTTTGGCCAAAAGCTTCTGGATATTTTAATTCTTTTTCAATTATTTTTTTGAAATGATTTTTTCCTCTCTTGCTCTTATTAAATAAATTATTATGAATGTATCCGTACTTAATTTCTTTTAACAATACTTATTACAGCTAAAGTAATCGTTAAATATAATTTTCTTTGAGAAAAGCATATGGTTTGCCATGGTGATGGGAATCCTAGCGGATATAATATTTAATTTGCTTATATGATCGTTATTGAGTTTAGCAATGAGTAAGAATCGTTCCCCAAGAGGATTAATCTTAATTAACAAGTTTTAAATTTTTGAATAAATAAAAGGGGATTTTGAATTCTAAACTAAAGTAACTAAAATTAAACAAGAAATTAAATGAAGAAATGCTTGAAAATAATATGAGAAATTATCAATGGTTAAGATTGGTTAAAGGTCCAGTTTCCACTTCTAGACAATGAAATTATGATAAATGAATGTTCCCAATTTCCTATAGAAACCACCAACTGTAGATAACAATATGCTTTGCTACCTCATTCTTTCCTTAATTCGTCTTTAAATAAAACAAGCTCTTTATTTAATTCTTTTTCCCTTAAATAACCGAGAACAAGCGCTCTAGATTCAATCTAAGGGAAGCATTAAGTTGAGAAATACATGTTGATCTAGGCAATAAACACCAAGCTCAGAATATTTAACCTAGGTTATGCTCCACATGCAATCGAATAAAAACCTCCTGCAATTATTGATCACAATTCGCTACCGATAATTAGAAACTCAAGGCAATTACGGATCAAAAACTCCTAATCTAGCAATAGATAATTTTTGAATCCTAATTGATTACACACCTAAATAAAATAAGAAAATAATTATGAACAATTAGATTGGAAGAATATAAATGATTTCTCTTGAGCAATTAGAAATGGTATGAAATTATTCAAATATAAATTCCATGTTTAGGGTTTCAACATCACCCTTAACCCAAAAGAAATTTAGCTTAGCGTAATTCTAAAATAATGCGAAGCAAAATAAATAGGAAGCATATGAAGTTACAAAGAAAGAAAGAAAGAAGAAAAACTCTTGATAATTCTTGAAAAAATCCTCACGTTCTCCTTGAATTTCTGGTGAAAACCTCTTTATTCTCCATCTTTTTCTCTCTAAAAGGTGGCTGGAAAAATATGAGAACCGACTCCTAATTCAATCCTAAAATTCCCTATTTATAGGTTTCTAAGTTGGAGTCAAATATGGTTTAATTCGGGGTCAAACGGAGCTTTTTTGGTCAACAAGTTAGTAAAATTCAGAACATGTGTGCGATGGAGCGTGTGGGCGAGTGCCTGGGCTGAGCTGGCGCGCAGCTTTCTCATGTTGGGCAGCGCAGGCGTGCTGCTGATGGGCGCTGGCCTCTGTCTGGGCAGGCTGATGTGCGCGCTCTAAGGCATGTGTTGGTGCTAAGGGTGACAATTCGTGTTAGTGGGTCGTGTTCGTATCAATCCGTTTAATAATCGTGTCAGAAAATATCAACTCAAACACGACATGTTTATTAAACGTGTCAAAAATGTCAATCCAAACACGACTCATTTACTAATTATGTTAATCGTGTCAACCCATTTAAATTAATATATTGAATAAGTAACTAATATAATAATGACTTATTTAAGATGGCCAAGATAGGTTTAACATGTTTATTGGTCAATTTATCTTTTCCCGTTAAGAAAAATAAATGAATTTTACCTACAAATATTAAAATTCACATTATTTGTATTTAATATGTCATATAAACTTTCATTTTATATCACATATCATTAGATTGTAGATGACACATATAGTTAATCGTGTCAATTTGTGTTAGAAGGTCAACCCTAACCTAACCCATTTATTAATCGTGTTAAACGTGTCAACCCGATTATAACTCAAATCCATTTATAGTAAACCCAAACCCGCTAACTTCGTGCGGGTTTCGAGTCATGTCATCGTGTTGCTACCCGGATTGTCAGCCTAAGTTGGTGCTATGCGGGCTGACGAGCGAGTGCGCTGCTGGCGCGGCCAGCCAGCCCCATCGACTGGAATTTTTTTTTTTTGTTTGAGAAAATTCTTTTCTTTTCCTTTCTTTTACAAACATGCCCTACTTGTATTTCTTCATTTTGGTCCCCAAATTGATTTCGAAAAGTCTCTAAAATGTGCCCAATTCCTTGTTAAAATTATTAATTCATTCTGTTTTGTTCCAAACAGCTACAAAACACAAAAACCTAATAAAAACTCTAAAACTTTGATAATCAAACAGGGAAAATATGAGAAAATTCAATGAAAAATATAAATAATTATGCACATATCACATGGTTTTGTGCAGAAGTATTAATTTTTTAGAAAATTTCATGTTTAACCGTTGTTTTTCAACTACCTATTATTTATGCCATTAAAAGATTTTTAATGCCATTGATTTATTTGTTCATTTTTTTTCTCTCTCTCTCACACCTTTGAATTCCTTTCTCTTTCTTTCTCAATCCCTTTTTCTCTCTCTTACTCTACCTCTTTCTCTCATCCTCTCTCCTAGTAACCATCAATGGCCGTTGAAGCCCTTGCCACTGGCGAAGTCGATACCTTCCTCTTCAAAAGCGTGTGCTTGAGACCTTCCTCGACAGTCTTCTTCTTCGACAGAGTCAATATGCAAGACAAAAAGAGAAGTCTGAGATCTTAGTGCCGTCGTCAATGGATCTCGAGGAGTACAATGTCTTCACCATGTTGTCGGGGATGAGAAGTGCAATTTCGAGATCTCCAGAAGGTGGCGATTAACGAATCGCCAAGAGAGAGAGAGAGAGAAGGTCATGGGATGTCTTCTTTGTTTTCGAAACGATTTCGGATGCAGAAACGCGGTAATTCATAAGACTTTTAGGAATGCTATAGATTATATTAATTTATAACGAGTAAATTAATCTAATTAATTTAGAACATGAATTATACCTAGCAACGGATTAGGATGATAACTTGAATTCTTTGACCCCGAACAATCAAAATGGTCTAGTTCCTTAGATCACCAAGAATCTTCCTCATCAATTTCTTGATTCTACAAAGAACGTGCGTGTGGGCAAACTTGAAATCAGAGAAAATAGTTATCACTAAACTCACAAGTCTTCTATGAACATCAACACAAGTATGATGTGCAACTGGAAATGAAAGAACTTTTCTTTCTCTTTTCTTTCTTTTTCTCTTGGATGTTGGACACCGGTCACTAGGATATTATATGTTGTTCAACAGAATGTTACATGCCCGTAACAACTATCCTATTGTTGGGATTGGTGTCCTTACCATCAAATATGCAATTCGGTGTAGCCAATATTACAACTTAGTTGGGTGAGTCTGACCATTATACATAGGTGGATTACATTAATAAAGTGCAAAAACAGCTGTTGCAGCAACCCTAGATCCTATTGGGTCTCTAATTATAGCTACTTGCACTTTCCTATCAATCGGGGGTGGCTCAGCTATTCTATTAGGTCGTAGGGGTTGCAGAGGTACCTCTAAAGGAACAGGT